TATATATATATATATATATATATATATATATATATATATATATATATGTATTTAGTTGTAGGTAGACACAACACCTTTATCTTATTTTTACAGTGCTGAGGATCAAACCCAGTGCCTCACATGTGCTAGGTGAGCAACTCTACTATATAAAAGTTAAAAATTTTAGGGTAATAGTTACCTTTGGGAGAAAGGATGAAGAGAATCATTTTCGAGGCTTCAAAAGTACTGCAATGATCTGTTATTCCTTATGATCCACATATATATTATACAGACATTTGTTTTTATGCTAGCTTCCATTACAAAACAATATTTTAAAATCACAGACCACATTATAGCAGCATAATCTCTGAATTAGATATGACTATCAATTCAAACTCCTTTGAGCTGAAGAAAACAGGATGATTACCTTGGCTCAATTTTTTCTGTTGCAGAATTTCTCATCAAGTTGCTCTGGACAAGCCGGAACTGTAATACACCACAAAAATGAGGACACTCTTCCCACCCACCAACTATCTGCCTCTGTTATTCCAAACTTCTAGCATGTAAGCATAAAGGTAAGCTAGCTAGGAGTTCAAAGCCAGCCTCAGCAATGGCAAGGTTCTAAGCAACTCAGTAAGACCCTTGTCTCTATATAAAATACAAAATAGGGCTGGGGATGTGGCTCAGTGGTCAAGTGCCCCTGAGTTCAGTTTCCAGCATCCCCTCCCCGACAAAAAGGTAAGCTTGTCAGGTATACCTTTCCTTCAAGCCAGAGGTAAGCTTCCAACATAATGGGTCAAAGAGTAACTTTTGGCTTAGATGCTAACACTTGCCTTTGTTATTGTACTTACAAGTAATACTAGTGGTGTTCCAATGCATTACTGTCTAGAGTCTCCTAGTCTAGAGTTCTGGAAACACAATTGTATGAGGCTACTCCTATTTCTATATACTACTTTTCCATTGTCTGATCAAAGGAATGTAAAAAATAAAATTCTGAATAAGCAAAGTTATGTTTGCAATGAAAGAACTAAGGGGAAATTCAAGACTAATTACATATCACTCAATAGGAACTTAGGAAAAAAATCCTCATATTGTCACCAGAGGGCACTGTTGTACATTCTGTACTAAAGAAATGGTCTAACATATATGTTGTGTTCTTTAGGAAGTTCTATTTCCTATCCATCACCATCTTGACAATATCTCAAGTTGAAAACAAGGTGGTAATGGGAAAATGCATGCCAGTCTGCATTTAAAATTTGTTTATTCTATGCATCATTTTTAATTTTTTCTCCTCTAGTGTACTCTATATTCCTAACTAAAAATGCTTTAAACTGTTGATAGCTTCCCCAGCTCACCTGCTGGTGGTAGTCCCTCTGTTTGATGAACTTGTCTACCACCTTCTCTACCTGTCTGTCACATTCCACCTGAAGATATTTGATCAAGGTATAAAGTCTCCCTGGTCCATAATAGGTCTCCACTATGGGCTGGTGGGTCTCCACAATGCGGGCAATCCCTAGAAGGAAGTGAAAAGGTTGAACTGCAAATAGTTGTTTCATAAAATAAACTCCTTTCTCCCATCCTGAACTAATCCAGGTCTAATTCAATCCTTTTGGGTTGCTGCACCACACAAAATGAACACACATAGTTGTAGCTGGTGCTGAGAGTTGTTAAGCAAATTTGTTAATATGCACAGTGACTGATATACTAACCAGCATTTGAGAATTTATATTGATAAGTTAAATTAAAAATACTTTTTTTTCCTAGTTGTATCTCTAGAAATCAGGATCACTCTCTTTCCAGTAATTTATCCTGGGGTTAAATTTACTCAGAGCTAGGTGCAATGGTCCATGCCCATAATGCTGGCAACTAGGGAGCCTGAGGCAAAAGGATTGCAAGTTTGAATCTAGCCTCAGCAACTAAGCAAGGCCTTAAGCAACTTAGTGAGACTCTATTTAAAAATAAAACATTCAAAAGGCCAGGAATGTAGCTCAGTGGTAAAGTGCCCCTGGGTTTAATCAGTACCAACCAACCAAAAAATAAAAAAAAGGGAGGCTGGGCTCAGCGGTAGTGCACTTGCCTGGCATGTGTGAGGCACTGGGTTTAATTCTCAGCACCACATATAAATAAATAAAAAATTTAAAAAAAGAAAAGAAATTTACTCATAGAATGTGGGTCTTGGGGACTAGGGAGGATCAAAATATTGTAGTGGCTCTTAATTAGTCTTGCTAATCAGATATTAAATCTGGAAGTAAATTCTTCAATAAATCAACACACAGTAAACTGTAGGATTAGATTAAAGCATCGGATTAGAGGGGACAGAAGAAAGGCTAGCATGCAGGTGTCAGAGAGAAATCTCTCTGGCCTCCTTAGGGTGGAGAAAGAGGCTTGCCTTCAAATAGTAGAGTAAGTGTGTCGGCGAAGATGACTGCAGCTCTTCGATCACTCATATCTGACCCTAGAACCAAGAGTAGGTTCTCCTCAGCTTTACTGGCCACCTGAAAAAAAAAAAAAAAAAAAAAAACCCAGAAAATCCACATATATTTCTGAACAAAGACCAGTCTCAACTAGGTTTGTCTCAGTTTTCCAAAAAAGACCTCCCATTGACTTGTTTATTCCCATGTTTCCCTTAATGCTTGGAGGCTCAGGCAGCACAGAGGAACCTCCTTTGGAGGGTTCTTGGCTTTCTGAGCTCAGGCAGGACATTCTTGTCTTTGAAAATATGGACTGCCATTGGCCAACAAACTGAGCCCTCAGTTTCATTTTCTTCTCTACGTGTAGATTATTATTATTAACAGTACTTTGTGGGGGCCGGGGCTGTAGCTCAGCAGTAAAGCACTTGCCTAGCACGTGAGAGGTCCTGGGTTTGATCCTAAGCACCACATAAAAATAAACAAATAAAAGCATTGTGTCCAACTACAACTAAAAAATAAATATTTAAAACAAAACAAACAAAAAATAAACAGTACTTCGTTGAGCCAGGACAAGAAATTTGGCTACTTGTGCACTGTGTAAAGGGTCTTTTAAAGGATTAAAATTAGAAGCCATTTCTAGGGCCTTGGTGGCAAAGTACTGATTTTAAAAAGTATCATAGAGTTGGGGATGTAGCTCAGTGGTTGAGCACCTGCCTAGTAAATGAAAGGCCCCGGGCTGGATTCCTTAGCAACCAATCCAAAAACAAATAAGCACCAAAAATAAAAAACAACAAAAATTCCACAGAACAGGGGACCCTCCTTTGGCTAGTGACAGTTCCTATTTTCAAAGGGAAGAAAAGCACTAAAGCCCTGAGATTTGAACTGAACCCTGTTTCCTTCTCAGGATTTAACTTTAAGGGACCTAACCTCTTTCATGTCAGTATGGCTTATTTTGAGACCCAAGCCTGGTTATGAAGTCTTGAGACTTCATTACCTAAGATCCAACAGCTTTTAATAGAAGCCAGTTTTTTTTTTTTTTTTTTTAAATAACTTTATTTTATTTGTTTCTTCTTCTTTTTTATGTGGTGCTGAGGATTGAACCCAGGGCCTCACGTGTGCTAGGCAAGCACTTCGCCACTGAGCCACAATCCTAGCCCCCTAGGAGCCTTTTTAAAAAAAATTTATATATGACAGCAGAATGCATTACAATTCTAATTACATATATAGAGCACAATTTTTCATATCTCTGGTTGTATACAAAGTATATTCACACCAATTCGTGTTTTCATGTCTGTATTTTGGTTAATAATGATCCTCACATTCCACCATCAATAACCCCATGCATCTGCTCCCTTCCCCTCCAGCCCTTATGCCCTATCTAGAGTTCATCTATTCCTCCCCTGCTTCCTCTCCTTATCCCACTATGAATCGGCCTCCTTATATCAAAGAAAACATTCAGCAAAAAATATGGAATGCTTCACAAATTTGCATGTCATCCTTGTACTGGGGCCATGCTAATCTTCTTTGTATCATTCCAATTTTAGTATGTGTGCTGCCAAAGTGAGCACTAGAAGCCAGTTTTTGACTGATAGCTTAAAAGGGGTGATTCAACTTGTCAGAGAATTTCCATTTTAATTTACCTATATTTTCACTTGGTCTGTTGAAAAAAAATGTGCATCAGTAGTTGTCTAGACCATGCCTGGTATACAGTAATAGCCAAGAACCAAACCATTATCCTACCAAGCCATCAGGGTCCATACCTGCTTACAAAGGTATTCTGAGAACTTGCTTAATCCCTCCTCATGCAAACCCAGCAGTGGGAAAATCTTGAAGAAGCGCTCTACTTGGGGTAAATCCCCTTCTTTGGTGGCCATGGCAAACTTCTCTGCTACAATGGCTTTGAGACGCTGTTCAGCTTCCTGCAGTAATTTCAGGTTGGCATCAATCATACTTCCTGCTCATGGGGAGAAAATGAGAATTAGTTTTAAAAAATTCTTTGTTGGGTCCATGCCACTCTGTGCACCACTATCCATTTGACAAGTATGTACAAAAGACTGTGTGCAAGATACTATACTAAGCACACACCTGTAATCCCAGCAACTGAGGCTGACAGGAGGATCCCAAGTTTGAGACCAGACTTAATAACTCAGTGTGGCCTTATCTTTAAAAAAAAAAAAAAAAGGTGGGATTGGGGATGTGGTTCAATGGTTAAATGCCCCTGGATTAAATCCCTGGTACCAAAAACCAAAAAAAAAAAAAAAAACCAAAACAAAACAAAGACACTATAATAGTAATACTGATGATTACAAGATGAATTTGCCATGATTCTACTGTCACAGGAGTTACAATTAAGTAAAAGAGAATGTGCCCAAATAACTATATAAAATTCAGTCATTTTAAGTGTCCTAAGAAAGGTGCCCCCAAATCACATTTCTGGTTGAAGTAATGAAAAAGGCTTCTTAGAGAAGGTGACATCCAGTCTCTCAAAGATAGGCAGGATTTTGATGCCTGAATAAGAAAGACATAAATTCCAGGAGAAGGGAATGAAATAAGCAAAGGAATAGGAGTGGAAAGATGAAAAGTATTTTTGCATATTATAAATAGTACATATCCTGATATAAAGAGGAACTCAACAAATGTTTGCACAATAAATGGATGCACAAGTGAACACTCCTAGAGAGACAGGAAAGTGTAGAATAGAAAGCTAATAATTTCATTTTGTAAGTAGGCAATAAGGTCAAGTGAAAAGAATACACCAGCCAGAGAATCAGAAGATTTGGATTCAGTTTCCTTTTCCATAAACTGAGAATAGCAATATCTGCCCTGGGATGGTACAGGACATACATAGGGCTTACAACGAGATAAGGGAACTTCCTAACAATACATGACTTTTTCCTGGTTGAGTGTACCTAGTTCAGATTACAGTGCTTGTAACCAAACTAGAAATCAAGTCTGGGATGCTGACCTTCTTTGCCCTGTCGGCTGAGTTCAATGACTGATTTGTCCAAGCACAAGTAACGATGAATGTGGGCTGCAGCCTGCTCATAATCTTCATTCCTCAAAGCAGTCTGAACTCCATCCATACAGAATTTCAGGTCCAAGATGTCATCAGCTCTCTGAATGGCCTGATAGAGGCGATTCTGAAAAAGACTTTGTGCTTAGAAATAAAAAGTCCTATTTCTTTTTCTCCCCCCGCCTTTCTTTTGTGGTACAGGGGATTGAATGTAGGGTATCACATGTTAGGCAAGCACTTCACCACTGAGCTACCTCCCAGCTCTTTTTATTTTGACAGGGTCTTACTAGGTTTCTCAGGCTGGCCTTGAACCTATGATCTTTCTGCCTCAGCCTCTTCAATATCTGGGATTATAGGTATGTGCTAGTAATGCATGGCTAGAAGTAATGTATTTTTTTTCAAAAACACCCATGCAAAAGATAGGGTGATTCAGGGTCTGAATCTGGTTAACCTTTTTGCCTTTAACTGGCAAACTTACAAACTCTTCCACCACCACTCACAAAACTGTTATATTTTTTTTTAATTTTGTTAGTTATAGATGGACACAATATCTTTATTTTTTTAATTTATTTTTATGTGGTGCTGAGGATTGAACACAGTGCCTTACATGCTGGAGGCAAGCACTCTGCTACTTAGCCACAACCCCAGCCCCACAAAACTGTTATTGATGATCAAGGCCAGCTGACAGGTCTCACAAAATCTTATTAATGTGGTCAAATAATTCATTTCAATGGAAGAAAGGGATAATCAATATTTATAATTTGGCTTGTTTTCTTAACTTTATTTATAGTTGAATCAAAACTTATGTGATATTTTGGGAACATTGTAAAGTAAGTAAAAAAATTAGTGAAATATGCAGAAGGCATATTTCTTTTAGAATAAGCAAGAATTAAAAACCAAAACTTTCATACATGAGTCAGTGGCTGTGTGGCTATACT